TCGTCGCTCTATTACGTCATATGCTTCGTTGATCTGATTGGTTTATTTGGCCTGTCTATCACCAACATAGGCCAATCAGCTTTCCATCAGGTTTCCAGATGGATATGCGGAGCAAATCCATCTGCCGGAGTCAGGTTACCATTTATCCCCACTTCCGTTTTCCCACAACCAGCAACGTCTTCCAACTGTTTCAGACGTCGGTGTTGAGGAGACGTAGTCCTTTTAAAGAAACCGTTTTATATTTCATCTCTTCACTTCAATCAAGTATGTCAAATTATATATTTTTTTGCTTAGGAAATAAGAATTCAATCCAATTCAGTGTTTTTACAAAATATTACCAACTGTTTTGCCTTTATAAGACGTTACACCCAGGGTTTTTTCTGGCTAGCAGAAAAAAAAAAATGTACACTCCCCCCCGACAAACACAAACACACACCCGTACACCCCTCTTTTTCTTAACTGGTGATTTCAATGAACAGGAGCCTCTCTCTTCCCCTCTGTCCATCACAGTCTCTGGCCATTAATCATCTCGAGTGGACAGTGCTGACAGGCAGTTGGCAGCATCCCCCTCCCCAATCATCATCATCATCCTCCACCCGTAGATCCAGCAGCCTAACTCACACATCCCCTCCTGCTTGGTGACACAGCAGCCGGTTATCCAAGCATGACGATCCCTCCTCAGCTTAAACAAAACCTTTAAGGCGGTTAATAGTGACAACGCAGACTGAGGCTTTTTCTTTCCCTGCAGAGAGCACAATGAAGAGGGAAACCTGTAATGGATCCAATGATCAATCGTCGGGTTATATACACTCTTCAAACGTGGGCAGCTCTAATGCACTTTTATTACATGTACATGTCAGGCCATTAGCTGCTTTTTGCTCCTGCAACAACAACAACAACAAAAAATACTATATCCATGAAGTCTATTAAGGCTGAGATCATGTTTAATAAATACAAACAGAACTGAATTCCCAGAAAAATATGAGAATTATTAAGGTGAAGATTAAGGAATTTACATGTAAGTGTTTTATACTCTTATCTAGATAGCACCTCTCCCTTACCGACACGATTTAGGACAGCTGCTAAAATTCCTCAACCATTAACACACACAAACACACACACACACATATGCAGGCGTGTTTTCAGACTGCGGAGGCAGGAAATGGGAATCCCTCGTAATTTTTCCTTCCGCTGTTGCTTTGCTTTCAAGACTCAGAGGCCCCTTGGAAGGTGGGAAAAAATCACCTCACCATTTGTCTCTCCTGTCTTCAGAGCCTACTGATGTTTACCCTGCCCCACAAAATACAAGTTTTCACTCCAAGTTCTTCATTTTCACCTAATAGTTGCACTTTGCCAATAACATGATCTTTTAAAAAACAACAAATTAAAGTTGTTTGTGAGGTTTTAAATTGTGAAACACACAGAAGTTGAAAATCGGGGAAATAAAAGTAGATTCGACAAACTACCTGTGGTTAGAAGGCAAACATAATACTTTGAGACAGAATATCTGAATAAATTATGGCTGAAGTTTGCCCACAAATTGGTAAAACTGTGGGTAAATTTCAGAGGCTGCAGTATTTGCTACTAACTGTTGACCCTTGCACTTTCCCACTACCTAACACTTGTTCAGGATGACACAGGAACGTGATCCATGCAAGCCTGTTCCACTAAGGCTTATGTAACACAAGCCGCAAATGTAATTGGGCTCAGACTTCTGACAGTTAAAACATACAAAATACTTTTTTTAATCTAAACACGAGTTTAAAAGTAACCAGATTAAGGGACATGTTAAAGGAATGACACAGCGAGTCTGAAAGGAGCCAGACAGACTTGGTCTCTTTGGTCTCTGGCTCTGCTCAATCCATTACCGTCCAAACAAGAACCCAAGACCAGATCAGAGACATTTAGGGTGCATTCGAACAGATGGTCGAGTCCAGGGATCAGTAAAAGTGAGAGAATTCACACCTTCCCTTAGTCCGGTTTGCCCTCACATAGTGACTTTTAGAGGCCTGCAGCTGCATTGGATTGTTTCAGGGCAGAATTGCTCTAATATTGCTTTGATCCGGAAATAAATCAAAGCACAAAAGAAAATTCTGCCTTATTGATTGTCCAGGACAAAAACAATTCCCCTTGCACCATTCTGTTCTTAACTAGCATGACCTTCAGGAACTGGACTGTGGCATGGTAAAAAGTGCTCCAAAGGTTCAGCATTGAAGCCCTGTTAGAAGTTAAAGGTTTTAGGGTTTTATTACAAAGACATCCAATTGTATCTGGCACAACTTCGCCTACTTCTAAGGTAACATTTTAAGGAAGCAACTTTACTCGTTAACAAATTAATTGAGTGTGTGGATTAGATAGAAGTGCAGTAAGCTCCAAAAATGAAAGAATAAACAGCCATTTATGCTGTTGTATATTTTTTTAGGTAGGACTTGGCTCCAAAACGCTTTGGGCTTAACAGGTTAATAGTGTTGCTAATATCAATTCATATGTCCTCGTTAATGGAGCATTTGAGGATTAGAGACTGACTAGGGCAGTGCTTGAAAGGAGGTTATAAAAAACCAAGCAAACAAAAAACACACAAACACAAAAGTTTATATGGAATGCCTCCTGATAGTGTTTACTTAGTTCTTAATTAACCCAAATAGTTATTGCACCAAGAACGACCGGCAGATTGAAACCTTGTCGTACACTATTGCCATCTGCCGGCAGTACTGTACTTATGGTGCTGTCACATCATAACAGTGTAGCCAGCGACGCAAGAAAAACTTGGCAAAAACACTGGCGTATGTTGGATAGGTTATGGGTACGTTTTGTTTAAGTTCTGAGCATGCTTAAGCATGCTGGCAAACGTTGACATACAGCAAGTATGTCAAGACGTATGCCAGCGTATGCTTATACGTGGGCCAAAAGTTACAGGTAAGTTTTGTGATCGTTGACATACATCAAGTGTAAGTTACTCATAAGTCGTAGTGTCTAGCTTATCTAAAACCTATGAGTAATTTGTGCATAACTTATGTGTAACTTATGAAGAACTTATCTCCAACTCATATCGACGTATTTGACGTGTTCCAGACGACCACTGAACGTGTTTCTAACTTACAGCTACTGTTTAATGCCGTATTGGCAGCATTTATGTATAAAAGGGAGTTAACTGGACGAAACCGTCAGTACTCCTCCAGAAGAGACTGAAGTCTATTATTCAGCTGCTTAGCAGCAGAGCAACAACCAGAGTTTTGTCAGAGCTATTATCAAAAAAATAAATAAATAAATAAAT